AGGAACTGTAAAGGGAACTTCCAGCCTGAGAGCAGGCACTGCATCCCATCATCCCAGCTCCTAAAGGCATTTTTTACAAATGCTTTATCTGGTCTCCTCATGCTGGAACACCTCAAGCAGACAGCAGCTAAGTGCCCAACCACAGGGCTGACGTACCATTAGGAGTCTGAAATAATGCCAAGAGGATGTGAAACTGTATTTTATGGGACGTGTTATGGAGCAGACCCAGTTAAGCACGGGTCTCGGACTCTGCTGGAGCAGCCCCAGGCCGCGGGAGCTGCTCCCGTAGTGCTGAGAGGTGCCCTTGGGCAAAGGACTTCAGTGGTGGCTGCAGAGCCCTTCCCGAGAGCCAGCACAGCTCCTTCCCTCTGCCTTATCTACGAGGGAGAAGTCGGATCTCAGGTATAGCACTGAGTTCTGCCAGCCTCTGGCTCCTGTTTGCTCCTGGCTGGAGAGATTTCCCCAGTCCCAGAACACAGCGCTGCGGTTTGGGGATGAACACACAGAATTCCCACCCACAGGCTGAGGCGCTCAGCCCGCTCGCCTGTGGACACCGCGGAGCAGCTGGCAGCACTGGAGAAACTTGGGAGGAAAAAACAGCACCAGCAGCAGCCCCGCGAGTGCGACCATGGCTCCAGGGCTGGGAAGGAAGGGCTGCGGCTTTTCTGCCGCCGTGGGTGCCGGTCCCCACCGGCCTCAGCTGTAACCGGAGCCAGCGCAGCCCGGAGCGCCAGGATCGAGCCCAGCCCGGCACAGGGCGAGCAGCCAGACAGATCCTGGCTCCAGGCACCCCGGAGCCGTGCTCAGACAAGGTGTGACTGCGCAAGTGATTCAGCTGAATGGAGCAGGCAGCACGGCACAGGCAGCCTGCAGTGAGGGGCAGCCAGGGAAAGGCTCCTCCGCCCACCGCCGGCTGCCGCGCTCCAAATCCAGATACCAACTTTAAGGGGGAAACCAGGAATTTCCATGCAAACACTAAAGAATCTGCCAAACGCCGAGACAAACGGACAACACGGTGAAAGATCGAGGCTGAGATCCTCACCCAGAGCTCCCTACACATGCAGGGCAGGCAGGGCTCCTGAGCAGCCAAGCTGCTTATCTCAGCCTGATCAGTGCAACAGAGACGTTGGGGAGTGCTTCCAGCTGGGAAGGCAACATTTCATCCCTATCCCAAATTCAAAAATCCCCCAAACAAGTTCAAAACAACCCTCTCTCTTCCAAACAAAAAAACACTGAGGTGTTCTGCACTGGAAGAACCAAATGGGTATTTGGATTTTCCCAAACTTTTCCTTATCTCCCTTGGATGATTTAACCAAAATTCAGAGGTGATCCTGTTCCCAGCAGCATTCCCCCCACAGAGCCCACCCTCCAGGTCTAGGCACGGCCTGGATGTCTTGGTGCAAGCGACTCCTCCACAGGCCTCTGCCTGCCAGAGCATGGAAAGGGGCTTCTCAAGGAATTTCCAGTCACGTTCCTGACTAACCACAGCCTAGGTCTGGAAAACAGCCTCGGCTCACTCTGCCTTAGCGCAGCCACGGCAGAGCGGGATGTGGTTCACTCTCCTGCTACGGACAGGATCCACAGGGAGCCAGAGCAATTACACCTCAAATCAGTGTTTCTGGTGCAGCAATAAGCATTTCTGGAGCAGCAACACTTATTAGTTCTTCCTGTAAGGCAGGAAGGCTCAGCCCTTCCATTTTTCAGATGGAAAAAACCCCAAACATCAAACCAAGAGTGGTGTCAGTTGGTACCTCAGACTGAGCCAGGGATAATTTGGGCAGGAAACTAGGGAGAGACATGCTGGGCCAGGGAATGTGGAAACAAGTTCCCTGGCTTAGGAACGATGCTGAAGAGGACAGCATCTGGGCCAAGGGCTTTTTGGAACTGCAGGAATAGCCAGGGCTTAGCCAGCAAGCAGGTCCTTCCACTCGTTCTTCTTGGCTTTGTGACCTTTTCTATCATCCGACCCTGATTCAGCCCTTCTGCTGCCCCAAAATACAAACATGCCCAAGGAGACAGAGGAAGGGAAGTTTTTCAGTTGTTTAGCTGATCCAGGTTCATCCTCTAGCTACACAACAGAGGTATCCTGCCCCTTCCCACAGCATCAGCCCAGACAAACATATGCTTTTCCCTTTTTGCTTGTTATTTTTTGATTTTAGGATAAGTCTAAGGCCAGTCCAACTCCCCAGCCCAGCTCTCAGGGAGAGCTGAGGGGAGGGGGCAGATCCCTCTTTTTTATCAGGATCAAAGGTTTTGGCTGAAGGTCTTTAGGCTGCCAAGGTGATGTAAGGGGTTGTCGGATCCTTCCGAAACACCAGCATGGCTCCAGCTGCAGTGCAGCCTGGGGCTAGGGGTAGGTCAGACTGGCAGGACCCCCAAGCTCATTCCTTATCAATCCTCCAGCTGGGGTCACCCCCCTGGTGGGGCTGATGCGGGGGCTGCACATCCCCTTGTGGGTGGGGACACAGGCTGTGCCCCAGGACTGCAGCAGCAGTACCCTTGCACTCCGACTATCCTGGAGCCAGGAACACTCGGGACAAGGGACTGCCAAGTCCCAGACAGAAGGTGACCCACGGGGAAGCAGGGCCAGTGTCACCCCCTGGCAGGGCTCCGGCAGGGCCCATTACCCTCAAAACCTCCGGGGTCAGTCAGCTGAGGGTGAGGAAGCAGATCTGGACAGGGACAGCCACACTTCGTGCCAGGCTGCGCTGTGCCAGGCTCCCCTCCCTCTCCCGAGGCCCCGGGCACACGGGCCCATCCCATGCCCGTCCCGTGGGGTCCCCGGGGAACTCACTCGAAGGCGAAGAAGAGGGCGCAGGTGCCGAGGATGAGGAAGAGTGTCAGGTAGAAGATGCCCTTCTGCCGGGCCATCATGATACGGCCGTCGCAGCAGAAGGTGTTCCTGCCCGGCAGCTTCTCCCATTTCCGAACCACCTTCTTCCTCGCCACCATCACCGACATGGCGGGGCCGTCACTGGGGCGGCAGCGGCCGCCGCACGTTCGGGCGCTGCTGCTGCTCCTCCGCCGCCCGCGCGCCCAGCATCATCGGGGCCCCGCGGGGCCGAGCTGGGCTGGGCCGGGCCGGCGGCTGCGGGAGAGGGAACGGGGAGAGCGCTCGGTCAGCACCAGGGCGGCGGCGGCACCGGCACGGGGGGCGGCGGCCGCCGTCGCCATGGAAATCCCGCGCCCGGGAGGGGCGTTGCCGTGGGAATCCACCAGGGAGGGGGAGCGGGGCGCGGCAGGAAGACCCTCGGCTGGGCGGCTCCGCAGCGGGAGGGGACGCGGCAGGGCCGGGCCGCACAGGGCAAGGCAGCCCCGGCTCTGCGAGCGTGCCGGGAGCCGGCGGGGAGAGAGCGGAAGGGAAGGGTTAGAGAGGAGACGGGAGAAGACGGCAAGGGAGGGAAGAGGACGGGAGGGGCCCGCGCCGCCGCTCACCAGATGCCGGTGCCGCTCGGGCCGCGCCGGTCGCTCCCACCGCGCCGGGAGGGGCCGCCACGCCCCGCGCCCGAACGGGGTGGGGCCGCCGCGGCCATTGGTCCCGCCGCGCCCTCAGCCCCGCCCTGCCGCTTCCCGCCTTTCCATTGGGCGCGTGCGCTGTCAGTCCGAGGCAGATCCTCCCACCGCGCCGCTTCTCGCCACTCCATTGGTTACCAGCGCTGTCACTTTGCAGCGACTCGTCCCTCCCCGCCGCTTCTCGCCGGCCCATTGGCCGTATGCGCTGCCACTCCGCGTGGTTGGCCCCGCCCTTGCGGACAAGGGAGGGCAGGGTGAGGGCGGGGCGGAGCCGGGTCGGGGCGGGGGGCGGGGGGCGGCGGGCGGCGGGCGGCGGGCGGCGGGCGGCGGTCGGCGGTCGGCGGCCGGCGGCCGGCGGCCGGCGGCGCTCCGGTTTGGTTCGGCTTGCCCCGGCCCCCCCGGCGTCTCCCGCCAGACCTCCTGGTGCAGCCTCCGGCGGGGCACGACCGGCGCCGCCCTCCGTTCCTCTTTTTCGTTTTCTCTCACGGGATGCCCACAAGCACCGGGCTTCCCAGCCCCAGCGCCGCGGAGAGCGCACGGGATGCTCCCGCCGTGGGTTCCCCGCCCCTCCCACCCCATCCGCACATTCCCACATTTCGCACAGTAGTTTTCCCACGGTTTTGCACACCCAGACCGTGGGGTTGGGTTCGGGGAGCCCCCCAGGATCCCATCGCCGGCATCCTGCCACCGGCATCCCATCGATCCCCGGAATCCCACCTCGGGGCGTCCCGCCCCTGGCATCCCACCCCCCGCAGCCCTCTCTGGAATCCCACACACAGCGCTCCCGCTGGGCACGTGGCTGCCAGCAAAGGCAGGGCCCGGAGCGTTAAACCTGAGGGAAAATACAGAACTTTTCCCGCGGTTGTTGCTATGGAGACTGGAGCAGACGGGAACAGCTCGTTATCCCTCTCCCTCCTGCCCCGAGCGCCCTGTCCGCCCTGTGCGCCCAGCTCGGGACGGAGGAGAAGAACGACGAAGAGGACGAGGAGGACGGATGCTGTGGGCGCAGTGACAAAGACTGACACCGCTTTGTGGCTGAAAACTCCATGTATTTGCTCCAACGAACCTTTGGATCCCATCAACCCCAAAAATGCTCCCAGAAGCCGGGTCCGGCCGGGCGGGAGGAAGCGTAGGTGCGGCAGCTATGTCCCCGAGCCCACTGGCGCGTCCCAGGGGGAAACAGCGAATCCTGCAATCCCTGGGACCGGCGGGACCGACGAGGGTCACAGACGGAGCGAAGACCCTCAGAGCTGCTCTGGCCCGCGGTGGCACCGCCGGCTACCGCTGCCCGGCGAGCCGGGGGCGTCCCGGGAGCGCCAGAGCCGTCCCGGAGGCGCCGCCCGAGGCCGGGACGGTGCTGTCCGTGCCCCGCTCCCTCCCGGGCCCCCCTCGGTCCCCTCCGGTTTTCCCACCCCGCCCGCCGGACCCGCTGCCATGGCAACCTGGACGTCATAGGGGCGTGCTTTGCGGCAGGGCGCGAGGGCTCGGCGCGACACTCGGTGGCGCTTTGCGGCAGTACCGGCGTGCGGGGCCATGGCGGAGGAGGACCCGGCAGCTGCGGCGGCGGGGAGCGGCAGCGAGAGCGAGGAGGGGGTGAGCGGGGCCGGAAAGAGTGCGACGGGCTCTCCGGGCGGCCTTCGCCGCACTTAGCGGGGCTCCAGGCGCTCTTCTGGCCGGGATGGGCGCAGCGGAGGACGGCGTGGCCTGGCCGGGGATATCGGGTCGAGGATGTCGGGCCCGGGGCCCGGCCGGGCGGTGCCGTGGGGGCCCCGAGGAGCACGTGGGAGCGGGCGCTGGGGCCATCCCCGCGCTCTGCCAGGTTGGGTCTGTGACCGCATGTGCTGTGTAGCAGGAGGATGGCGAGCGGCGGCACCGGCAGCTCCTGGAGGCCATCAGCGCCTTGTCCGGACGGAAGCGGTGAGTGGGGGCTACGGGCGTCCCGCGTTTAGGCCCGGGGGCTCCTGCAGCAGCCGCATCGCGAGAGGTTGCACAGGAAGGGGGGGCAGAGGGGACGGTTTCCCGCTCCTGCCCTCGGCACCGGCCTCAAACGCTCCAGAGCACCCGGGGAATACGAGGAACCTTTGGGGTTGTTTTCTGTCTCTCTCTCGCAGGCGGAAGCTGGCAGAGCGCTCGGAGGCGAGCGGGCAGGTGTCTGAGTTCAATGTCACCTGCAAAGGTGAGGCAGGGAGCTGGGCAGAGCTCGGGGATCTGGGATGGCGCTGCCCACCGAGAGCCACTCTGAGGGCTGGGACAGCTCCCTCACCTGGCAGTGCCACACCTGTGCGTAGGCGCTGGGGAAAAGCTGGTCCTGTCGGAGCTGCTGCAGCCCATTCATCCCAAATCCACGCTGGGCAGTGTGAGGAAGGAGCTGGCCAGAGTGAAGCGGAAGGCGGCGGTCGAGCTGCCACTGAGCAAAGAGGAGGCCAAGAGGGTGAGTGCAGGGAGCCAAGGAGGTCCAAGCTGAGCCTCCAGGACTCCCGTGCTCCTCCCTGATGCCGGCATCACCTTTCTCTGCCCATCCTGTTCCCCCCAGGTGGTGAGGGAGGCCGCCTATGTGACCACCTCGAAGGACGTGGGGAAGTGGCAGCAGGTGGTGCTGCAGAACCGGCGCGCGGAGCAGCTGGTGTTCCCTCTGCGGCAGGACATCGCCACCGTCACCCCTCTGGAGAGAGTCACCTCGGCATGGAAGGTGCCCACTGCGGGTCACAGGCTGGGTGGCTCTGGGGGAGCAGCCAGGGTGGCTCCAGGAGCAACTGGGGCAGGTCGATGTCCCCTGGCTGTGCTGGGGGCAGTAATGGCAGGCTCAGCCCAGCGGTGACACTGGGCAGGTGCCCGCCAGCCTGGGAAGGTTAGAAGGGCAGTCTGTGTTCGTCTCACAGGTGTGCAAATGCCATCTGGGACAAGCCAAGTGAGAGGGTTTGGAGCCTGCTCTGTCCCTTCTCCTCCTTGTAGCCTCTAAGGGCCAGGCACATGGAAGTATGCCTTGGCCACAAGTGCTGAGACAGAGGGATTGGTTTGCCAAATCCTGCAAGCCTGGAAACACTCCTTACAAAAGAGGGCTATGTTTAGGTTTGAATGCAAGTTCCTGTTGGGTTGTGCTGCTGGCAGGAATCCACTGCTATCCCTGGGAGTTGTCAGATGCCCAGGTGAGGGAGGGGCAGCCCCTGCTGAACTCCCAACAAACCTGTCACTCACACTGATCTGCCCAAAAGTCTCTTTCTGTTTTTGGAGGGACAATGGCATTGTGTGGCCTGGAACTCCTGCTCCATGCTTCTCTGCCCCCTGACCACTGCTGCCTGGCTGTTAGGAGGCCATTTTTCTAATGTGAGAGGAATTCTACCTGCTCTCATCTGGCCATGTGACTGGGAGAGTGCCCAAGGGCTGTGGTGTGGGACCTGCGAGTGGGGCTGTGACCACTCAGTCCCCCAAGGCAGGGGGACATTTCTCTGGGCCTTCCACAGTGAGAATGGATGGGGACATCCAGGGGAGCACTGGCCCTTGCAGTTCTCCTCATCCTCTTGCCATGTCTACTGTCCCAACAGGCTCGAACTCCACTGGAGCAGGAGATCTTTGGATTGCTCCACAAGACACAGCAGCCCGTCACAGACCCGCTGTTGACACCTGAGGAGATGGCCTCAGTGCAGGCCATGAGCTTGGAGGAGGTGAGGCTTCACCCCGTTAGGACATGGCTATGGGGAACTCTTCCTTTGCCCCATGCCTCACCCCGTGCTCCCCATCCCTCACCCCTTTCCCCCTGGCAGGCCCGGCGCCGGCGGGCAGAGCTGCAGAAGGCCCGGGCAGTGCAGTCCTACTATGAGGCCAAGGCTCGGCGAGCAAAGCGGATCAAGAGCAAGAAGTGAGGCTGTGCCTGAGCTGGGCTGGGCACGCTGGGAGGGCAGGGCGGCCCTGCCTCACCCGGGGCCTGCCCGGCTCCTGAGCCGCCCCTGTGCCGCAGGTACCACCGTGTGCTCAAGAAGAGCCGGAGGCGCCAGGCCCTGAAAGAGTTCGAGCAGCTGCACAAATCGGACCCTGCAGCCGCCTTGGCACGGCTGGAGGAGCTGGAGCAGCTCAGGATGCAGGTGCTGCATTGGCACCTCTGCCTCACCCCTCGGGAGGGCCCTGCTCCTTGAGGAGCTCTGTGTGACGCTTCTCTTCCCCCAGGAGCGGATGAGCCTTAAGCACCAGAACAAGGGAAAATGGGCCAAATCCAGGGCCATTATGGCTAAGTATGACCTCGAGGTAAGATGGAGCCACAGAATGGTTTGGTGAGAAAGGACCTTAAAGCCCATCCAGTTCCACCCCCTTGCATGGGCAGGGACACTTTCCGCTAGACCAAGTTGCTCCAAGCCCTGGCCAGCCTGCCCTTGAACATTTCTGGGGATGGGGCAGCCACAGCTTCTCTGGGCAATCTCTACCTGGGCTTCGCCACCCTCATAGGAAAGAATTTCTTCCCAATATCCTGTCTATCCCTGCCTTGTGTCAGTGTGCAGCCATTCCCCCTTATTCTGTCCCTCCAAGCCACGGTTTAAAGTCTCTCTATCTCTTATAATCCCATTTGTATATTGGAATGCCATGACAGGGTGTTCAGCATTGCTTAGGGAAGGGAGGTAGGCTGGGGTGGGCGGGGAAGGTTGGGAATGTTTTCTCTGTCCTATGTTAGAGCCTCTCGGTGCCTCCCAGGCCCGCAAGGCCATGCAGGAGCAGCTGGCCAGGAACAAGGAGCTGATGCAGAAGGTGCGGGTGGAGCCCCCTGAGGAGGAGCTGTGTGAGGTGCTTGAGGAGGACACCACGGCCTTGCCCATGCCCAGCGGGGCTAATCCCTGGATGCTGGGCAGGCCCAGTGGCCTGGCCCCAGAGCCTGAGGCACAGGAGGGTCCAAGAGATGACATAGTGCCTGGTGCTGTGGAGAACAAGGACAAGATGGAGGAGGAGGAAGAGGAGCTGTCAGAAGAAGAAGCTCTGCTGCAAGACTTCGAGCAGAAACGACGGGAGCGGACAGGGAGCCCTGAGGGGCAGGGCAGAGACCATGGTGAGGAGCTCAAGGCCCAGAGCTGGGTGGGCTGGGAGTGCTGGGGGCTGGACAAAGGGAGGGGGATCTGGGGACAGTTTTTGGCTGATTTCACACAGCTGTCCTTACTCTCTGCCCTGTGGAGTGACCATTTCTACCCTCAACAAGTAGGTGCTGATGAGACTGAGATTGGTGCTGAGCAGCCCAGGGACAGCCCAGTCCCCCCAGTCTGTGCTGAGGAGTTGGTGAGCGCAGGGCTAGAGCCTCCCCCTCAGGCCCAGGAACAGCTCCTGCTCTCGGAGCAGCCGCGCCGCGTGCGGACCATGGAGGATGTGGAGAATCTGGCTAAGGACGAGCTTGTGGAAGAGCAGGAGAAGCTGGTAGTCCTGAGAGCAGGGAAGCAAGCACAGCAGCAGGAGGAAGGCAGAGCTGGGGACAGACATACCAAGAAAGCACCAGCCAAGAGGAAGATGATCAGCTTGGAGGCTGTGCTGGATGGGAAGCCCCAGGAGATGGACTGCCCCAGCCTGCCTGTAGTCCTGGAAGAGGAGGTGAGTGGGACATGCCTCTCCCATGCTCCCCAGCACCCAAAACACCCATCCAGTAATGCCCAAACCTTTAAGTCCCAATAACCCCAAACCCTCTCCTGGTAACTCTAAACTCCCTTCCAGTAACCCCAAACCTCCTTTCAGTAACTCCCAGTAACCCCAAGCCAGTTACTCCTCCCAGTAATTAGAAGCCCCAAACTAGTAACTCCCAGTACTTCTAAACCCCCTTACAGTACACCCCAAACCCCCTCCAGTAATGCCCAGTAACTTTCACCCCCTTCCCATTGTCCCCAGTACCCACAAACCCTCGCCTTCCAGTTTGTCCCAGTCTCTCCGAATTCCCCCAGTAACCATTAAACCCACTCAGTCTTGTCCTCGTGCAGGAGGGTGGCATCGAGCAGCGCGGGATGATCACGGAGGCCTTTGCTGGGGATGATGTGGTCGCCGATTTCCGCCGGGAGAAGCGCAAGGCAGAGGAGGCAGGGAAGCCGCAGCCGGTGAACCTGGTGCTGCCAGGCTGGGGCGAGTGGGGCGGCACGGGCCTGAAACCCAGCGCTAGGAAGGTCAAGAGGTGAGTGGGGGAGAGCTCAGGCTTGCGCTCAGCCCTGTGCCAGCCCTGACCCCTGACTTGCCCACAGGTTCCTGATCAAGCCACCGCCGGCGCCTCAGCGGAAGGACCAGCACTTGCCCCACGTCATCATGAGTGAGAAGCGCAACATCCACGCGGCAGCGCATCAGGTGGGGCACACCTGGTCTCCATAAGAGCTCCAGCATCTGGGCAAGCCTGGGGCATTCCTGTGATCCCTTCCCAAAACGTCCACAATCCCTGCCTGAAATCCCTGCCCAAAGCTTAGCTTCCAGCTTAAACAGCTCAGAACTGAAGGAGGAGGGATGTACAGGGCTGCTCCCTTGGTGGTGGTGGTTGTTCCAGCCCTCTTGGGCTCTGCTGGCAGCGGAAAGGGAAGCAGAGTGTGAGTGGGTCCTGGACAAATGGGAAGCAGTGAGCATTGGGAGCAGCATGGGCTGGAAAAGCTGGGCTGGGTGGCTCAGGGCCATTACCCCTGTGGTGTCCCCACAGGTCAGCGAGCTGCCCTTCCCCTTCGAGCGGCACCAGCAGTTTGAGCAGAGCATGCGGACGCCCGTGGGCCCCACGTGGAACACTCAGCGTGCCTTCCAGAAGCTGACAGCCCCTCGAGTCATCACCCGCACCGGCCACATCATCCAGCCCATCTCGGCCGAGGACGTCTCCGACACGGCCCCTGGCAGCGAGGCCAGGCTTGAGGGGGAGGCCATGCCCAGCAGGAAGGCTGGGCCCGGGAAGAAGGCTGTGTCCAGGGGGAAGGCTGGGCCCGGGAAGAAGGCTGTGTCCAGGGGGAAGGCTGTGCCTGGGCAGAAGGCTGTGTCCAGGGGGAAGGCTGTTCCTGGGGCGAAGGCACAGCCCCGGCGCTGCAGAGCGCAGTAGCTCTGTGTCTGCAGCCTGGAGGCTCAAACTGGAGCGAGCGGAGGAACCAGCAGCAGCAGCTCCTGGTTCTGTCCAGTTCCTTCTACCTCTTTCTCTGCAATAAAACCCAGGGCTGCCCTTCCTGTGCTGTCTGCATGGCTGCCTTGGCAGTGTCCAGGGCTAGGTTGGGCCCTTCATCCTCTCCTTGGGGTCCATGCAGGGTCAGGTGCTTTGGCTGAGTTGAGGGTGGAAGTTTGGTCAGGAGCTCATAGTGGAGCATGTCTAGGAGCATGGTGAGGGATTGGAATAGCTGCCAACATCCTGTCCTTTGTCTTTTATATCCCCATTTTTGTACCTATATAGATCTTTAAATCTTGGCCAAAGGGGCTTTCTCCCCCCCACCTTGTCATGCTGAGCCTGGCTTCGGGAGTGTTTCTCAGATCCCACCTGCACTCCCAAAGTACCTGCTCAGCCCTAGTAAACCTGATCACCTGGCAATGGCTCTGTCAGGTGCTTCTGCTGTTCTGCACGTGCTGGGAGCTGGCTCTGTCCACGGGCAGCCTCCACTCCGGCTGCCCATCTCCAACCCCTCAGAGTGGGACAGTGAGGTGCCTCTCAGGGGGTGGTTGGTGCATTCAGCACAAGTGGAGGGATGTGCCAGAGCCTTACGGACTGGGCAGGGACCCCTCTAGGCCTCTCCCCCAACTTACAACGTGGCCTGTGCTCAGCACCAGTTGAAAAACTTCCCAGCCCCAGCACAGGAGCTGGAGCTGCTGCTGATCCCAGGAAACGTCCCTTGTGTCAAGGACGCCTCCTCCCACCTTGGCACTGCAGCCCGCCCTGGGCACGGCCTGTCCCCAGGGCCGCCCTTCTCTGCAGCTGGGTCAGAGCAAGAAACGGGGTACTCCGTGCTGGCTGCAGGTATCGGAGACTCCCGCAGGGCTCTTCCTAGGCTGGGAGGGGACTGGGAGCTGGCGTGGGACGCGTGTCACAGCTTTGCCGGGGACCCATCCCGAGTGCCTCTGGCCCCTGCAGCACCCGGGGCCGGGGAGTCAGAGGGCGCTGGCCCGTGATGGGGCCACGGTTGTGTGGCTTGGGGGGGAAAAAACAAAAAGGAAAGGAAGCGGAGAGCATTTTCGTGCCGTGACACCGAGAGCCCCTCGCGAGGCTGGTGGCCCCAGCAGAGCCTGCGTGCCTCTGCCATGGGAAACCTTTGCCTCGGAGATGTCGTGAAGGGCGGAGGGGGTCGTGTTTGTTTTAATAAAAGGTGAAGCGTCCTGAAGAGGGGGAGGCAGCGTCCCCTGCCAGCGCTTCCACCTGCCTGCAGTCCCCCAGAACCGCCCCCAGCCTCCCGCCACTGAGGCCAGGAGATCGCGGCACCGCTATCCCTGTCCCTCTTGCAGGGGCCCTCCCTCGCCTGCCCTGGCCAATGGCTCTGCCTTCCTCCTCCCCAGCCCCGGACAGTGTTTGGCTAGACAAGATGGGCTGTTCCAGCACCCAGCCCACCTCCTCGGCTCCAGCCCCGGGATGCTCAGGGTACGCGGGCTGGGAACGGTCCGGGGGGCCTGTTACAGCAGAGCTGGTTCGGGCTCAGCAGGACCTGCGGGGTGCTGTCCTCTCTGCAGGGAGGGGGAACCCCCCACGTGCCTTCAGCCCCGGATTGGGCCCACCCCACGGCAAAGGATGCTGCTGCTGTGCGTGGTGTCACCTGTGTCCCTGAAGAGGGGAGCACTGCCCCGCAAGATCTAGCCCTGCTCCAGCCTGAGCTGGGACCTCCCCAGATCCGATGCGATGCTCCCTCCGGGGCCGGGGAGATGGTGGCACCAGGGCAGTGCTCAGGGGCAGATCCTGCAGAGGACCGAGGCCTCAGCTCGGTAACACCAGTGTAACACCAGCTCAGACCTGGAGCAAGCAGGGCTGCAGTTGTCACAAATTGGATCACCTGGAGCAGCAACAAGACCTGCTGAGGTGTGGATCCCTGAATGGATCCCTGCGTCACATAGGGCTGGTGGATCTGGCAGCCTGAGTGGGGGTGATGCTCAGCGTGGGAGGGAACAGCTGTAGCCACACATCTGGAGCTGCCTCATCCTGTGAGGAACGGCAGCAGCGGACTGGACTGGCTTGAGCTGGGGCTTCCAGTATCCAGAGATGCTTCAAAAATAATTGGGGACAGCATTAGCATGAGCTGCATAGGAGGGACCCTGGTGGGGGGTGACCACTGGTGCTGTCATCCCCGTCCCTCCAGGCTCCTGCTACAGCACAGGCTTCTCTGGAGCCCCCACATCGAGGCAACACTTGGCCCTCTGACTTCTCTGCAGAAATGATTTTACTGGGTACAGCAGCTTGGGGTTTTTCAATTAATAACGCATTCCAAGTCTGCCGCAGGAAAGGGGGATGCCAGGGATGCCCACTTGCAGCCTCCCAGGTCGGCAGGGAAGGGGGCAAGAGCCCTTTGCAAGGGGACAGGAACGGGCTGGGGAACCTGGCACGGCTGCGGGCTGGGGTGGCTCCCTGCGGGGACTTCCCCAGCCTGATCGTCGTTCTCCCTGTGACAGCAGGGCCGGCCGCAGGCTGCCAGACAGGGTGCGAGTCGAGGAGAACCTGGACAAAGCCCTGTTGTCGCCGGCCACCGCGTGGGTCACAGGAGCCCCGGAGCCGCGGTGCGAACACGCAGCCCTCCCTCGGCAGCCCGAGCGCCGCGTCCCCCGAGAGCCTCGAGCGGCTGCGGTTGCTCTTACTGGCCTACTTTCCGGGCTACGTCAAAGCCGGGCTTACGGAGCAGCGAGCCGCGGCAAGGGCGGCCGAGCCGCTCCCGGTGCCAGCGGGGAGCGGGGGCTAATCCGGGCCCGGGGCCGCCCGGCCTGGCTGGCACACGGCGGCGGGCAGCGGGGCAGGGCCGGCGGCGCTGCAGTGGGGCTGGGGACGAGCACGGCCACCGCCAGGTCCCTCGGGGCAGGGACCCACCCGAGAGCAAGGGCCGCTCCAGCGCCGGGGAGCTGCCGGTGCAGCCGGGCTCCTGCACCCGGCGTCCCGGGAGGCCAGTGGGAGCGGGGTGGAGTAAAAGGCAGATTTAAAATCAACAAACAAAAAGGCTTTTGGTCGCTGTTTTTTTGGGGGGTTGGGGTTTTTTTGTTTCTTTTTTGTTATCTTTTTTAAATGCAGGCTATAAATAACCTGTAAAATATTTCGTCTGGGCTGTTTCTGCAGCTGAAATCTTGTCCCTCTGGCTTCCCAAGCTCAGGATGTGCATGCGATCACTGAGGCCGTCATGGAGCACCCCTGGATCCCTGGGGTGGATCCCTGGGGTCCTGTACCTTTGCCCATTGGGATCAGGGAATGTCCATGTCCCTGAACACCTCCAGTCCCCAGGGGCTGGAAACGGTCCTCCCCAGAATGGGCCCGAGCTCCACTCCTCGCGGTGCGAGAGAGTCTGAGCACCGCCTCCCGACCGGACGGAGGCGAGAGGCTCAGCCTGGGCACAGTGCGGGACAAACAGGACAGGGGAGGCAAGACTGGGGTTGGAACGTCAGGCTCAGAAATGCTCTCCCCAACACGTCCCGTGCTGGGGAGAGGGGTGGTCCCTGCTCCCCGAGTCTCTCAGCCTCCATCGCCCCGCACCAGGGGCACGCTAACGCCCCGTTCCTCCCGCCGCGGTACCCGGTGCCCGGCGCATCCCGGCCGCATCCGGGCGCCGCAGCGGTTTCCGTGGAGATGGCATCTCCCAAGCCCGCACCGCCCGAGCCGGGGGTTTCCATGGAGATGCCGTATCCAGCACGGCACAACCTGAGCCGGAGATTCTGCCGAGATGCTGTAGTCGGGACCCTCGCCCCGCAGCAGGGCCATTCCCGGGGATGCGGGCAGCCGGGACCCTCTGCGGCTTGGGGGTGCCTGTGGTGTTATCCACCGCTCCTCACACCAGTTCCGTGACAGCGCTGGGACACCAATACCTGCAGCTGTGAACATCCTGGGGGAGCTGTTGCCAGCCTTGTCACCCTCCAGAGCGGGAACCCACTCACTCGGGCTGCATTGTCACATTCTGTCAGGATCTCCAAGAGATGGCAGGTCCCTGCCTGTACCCAGCTGCGTGGAGATGAAAAGGGGAAATCCCCATGTCCCCTGATGACTTTGTCCCAGCTGCCACCCTGCAGCTCCCACAACGACTTGTCAGGGTGGGATATCAGTGGCACCAGGTGGGAAGCAGGCACCGTGCTGCACTCCTTCACCAGGGGATGAGGTACCCAGCCACAAACCAGCAGCATCCCAGAGCTGGGGGACACCTGGCTGAGTTCCAGCACAGCCAGTGCACCAAAAACTTCCCGGGGGGAACGTGAAGGGCCTCAAAGGGCAGGACTGAGGCCAAGTGGAAGGGTGAGCAGAGGCAGATGTCCTCCTGGCAGGCAGCTGTGTGTACGTGTGCCCTGGCCAGTGTTATAATAGCAGCTTCGTTTGAGCACAGCTGCCGCAGAGGTGGCACCTTCCATTCTGCACACGGCAGAGCTCTGGCAAACCCCAAGCTCCTGCTGCAGAGATGGGGGAGAAGCACAGGAATGCCCCTGGGGCACACGTTGGGACATGCTGGGACACACTCCTGCCCACTAGGTGCCCGTGAGAGATGTGGAGCTGGTTCAGCCCGTGTCCTTCCTTGCCTCAGCCCCCTCCATGCTCCTGCTCTACCTCTGCTCCCAACTGGATCTTCCTTGGCCACCCTTGTCCTGCCCAAGCCAAGGCCATCTGGAGCCTCCATGGGGGCTTCTCAGCTGGCAGAGCAGCAGCAGCCAGGAGCCTGGGGATGATGCCTGAGGCTGGGCACTGCTAGCCATTCCAGCCTCCAACTCCTGGGGGGCCTCAAGACCCCACACAGCCTGGCTACTGCTAGACTGCCAGCAGCACTTCTAGCATCCCCAGGCACAGGCTGTCAGATGCAGCACTGCGGTCAGAGCCCAGCTCTTTGTCTGCTGTTATAATTAGGAGCCCCCCCGGTGGCTACCGAGGCCGGACCTGAGAAGCTCAGGGCTGAGGGACAGACACTAAAGGAGCTGGAATCTGGAATGGCAGCCTGGGAGCAGGGGCAGGCCCTGTTCTGCCCACAGCCAGCTACTCACCAGAGCCTCGTGCTGTATTGAAAAGGGCTGGAGTGGGGCCAGGGGTCTGTGCGGTCACCCCTCTCACCCCTGCCAGCTCTGCAGGGCTCCTCACCTGATTTCTGGGGCTCCCCTGGCACCCCAACCTCTGCTCACCCACTGTATTCTCCTCCCCTCCATCACTTTGGCCTTGCCCTGGCTGCCAGCTATTCCCTTGGCTCCCAGGCACAACATGGTTCCTCCCTGCCTTATCCTGGTGATCCCACATTCTCACCCATCAGTGGTGCTCTCCCAGCCCAGTGCTTCTTCTGGGATGTGGAGGAGGAGGAGGAGGAGGGCAGCAGAGACAGCGTGTGCCTGCTGACTCCTGTCTGTGCTGCTCACCATGGGCAATACACACTTCAGCCAGCACAGAGGCCTGGAGTGGGTAAGGAGGAAGAGGCCAATCCCAAACTCCCTTGGATGGTCCAAGAGGAAGCCACCCAAAATCTCAATCCATGAAATTCCCTTCCCGAGGCAGGAGCAGCCTTGTTTTGTCCCCAGCAGCTGGGTTCAAAATGTCAGCCTCTGAGCTCATAACAGATCCCGTTTCTCACGCAGGAGGTGGGACTCTGTCCCATGTCCCTCCTGAGCGCCGTGTCCCCTGGGGAGCAGGGGGAAGAGGGGCTGCACATCAGGAAGCAGGCAGCAGCCTGGCCTGTCGTGTGCCCTGCCGCACTTGGCCTCCCTGCCCACCATTCCCTGTCCCCGACTGCCAGCAGGAAGGACAAGGCAGCCACTCTGATACCGTCACCTTCTATCTGCACTGCCACCAGTGCTACCAGTGTTTGTTGTTGGAGAGGGACAGCCGATGGAATGTGGGAGGATGAGGGCTGCAGGTAGAGGTGACACCTCGCGACATTGTCACTGCACCAGCCAAACCCAGGTGAGCTCTGCCCACCTCAGAGGGAGCAGCACGGAGGTTCCTTCTTCAGAAAAGTCCCAAGAAACTCAATGAGAAATCTCCAGACCCCATAGAAATGGACATGCTGTTCCTCCCAACGGGACATCCATCCCCTGGCTCCGCAGTCACGGCCCCACCTTCCCAGGTGAAGCTGAAGTATCCAGGGAAGAACAAGCCCTGGACATGGAAGTGACGTGGAGCACATGAGGCATCACCTCATTCCTCTTCTTCTGGTGCCAGGAACTACAAGCCACCTTTGCTGCCACCAGCTGCCACCACCCTGCTAGAGGAGAAGGCTCCATGATCCCAGCTCATCCAGAGATGCCTGCCAGCCAGGCTGCTCATTAGCACCATGGCTGGCATTAATGTGACTCCCAGTAGGGTCAGGGTCCCCCCACAGCAGCCTGGCAGGACCAGAGTGTGCCATGCCCAGCTGGTTGTGTTAGCCAACATGTTCTGGTTTCTGGTCAGGGAGGGGGCAATGATGTGGATTCTGTCCCAAAAATAGCAGGTAGAGGAGAAATAAATAAAAAAAGGACACAAGATGGAGCAGTAATGACAAAAGCAGCAGCAACAGTACTGCAGGCCAGGTCAGAGCTGAGCGCTCTGGCCCTGGTGGCCCAGGGGACCAGAGCAGGCAGGGGACACACACATGTCAGGGGCTGCCCTGAGCACTCAGGGCTCACAGGTGCCCTCGGACCTGTGGAGCTCGGCAGAAGTCCTGCTGCCCAGCAAGGTGCTGTGGAGGAAATGCTGGGGTGAGGCAGCAGCTGGGGCTGCCCACAGCTGGGGGGTCCTGGGGGATGTCCCCAGGATGGAGGGGAGATAAAGGAGCCCCCAGCTCCCCCTGCAGCACGAGGCCCGCTTGATTCCCTTGAGGAACTACCAGTGAGGGCTCTTTATCTTATTTTTGCTGCGACAGATCATTCCCATTGGCATTTCTTCAAGTTAGTCCATGACTGGTGCCTGATTAGCTCCACTCCCTGATGGAGAATGCCCCTCATTCCCCAGACTTTTCCATTTCCCTGGAACATGAGAGCCACAGAATTTTTCACCACCACCTTTTAAAGTCCTTTGGTGCAAATTATCCCGTCCTGAAGATTTTAAAGGTTCTAATTAAATGGGGCAGGAGCAGTGGCATACTGGAGGATGTAATGGTGGGATGCAGAGCTCTCCCAGTCAGCACCATGCAACTCGGTGTGCGACTCCTGCAGGGATGGGGTGAGGCAGCTGCAGGATGAGGCTGTTACTCAAACTGTCTGTTTTTAATTGCATCAGGATGCAAATAAGGCAGGTCTTTATGAACCTGGGGTCATGTGCCTGTCTCAGGCTGTGCCCTTCTTTCTGACCATCACCCAGCCTGAAATGCCTCTTGGAGCACCTCTTTTACCCACAGTCTAGCTGTAGGCAACAGTGGGAAAAGGTTCAACATAATGTGGAGAAGTGGAGTAATTCCCTTCTGCAGGAAGAGCTTCCTCCCTCATGGCCTTCCTCCGTGAAACCCTGGCTCTCTGCCTTCCCACGGTTCTGGCAGCCCCGTGTTTCACCCTGCCACCCCTCTCAGCACTGTCTACACTCCCCGAATCTCATGCCCCACAAGCTCAGCACTCTTCTGCCCACAGACCCCTACCTCAAACTGCTCTCCAAGCCCCCACAGCCCCAAAAGGGGGACAGGCCGTCTCCTGCCCCAGGCTGCTGTGGCCTTTTCTGCAAAAAATAGAGCTCAATCTCTGTGTAAGATGTTTTTTCCTCTCCTTAGGCACTGAAAAGGTTTGGGGCTGAGGCTGCAGAGGACTCTCCCGGCAGGTGACACCAGGGTGTGGCTGCCAACCCAGATGTGCCATCTGGGGTGGCCACACCCTGGAGCCCATGCCCACCTCCTGGAGGCCCCGGCTGTGGCAACGCTGAACTAAGAGACTTCGCCATCGGATGGACCAAACCGGCGGAGCAAACGGGTCCTGCAGGGGTGAGGGCAGCACGGAGCCCATGGAGATCAGCAACGGAGCCCACAGGGGTCCTAGCAGCACGCCACGGGCGCGGGACGGTGACATCCTCCGGCCCCCACCCCGGCGCCCACGCAGGATCGCGGCCGCGGTCACCGCAGCACCGCCCCGTTCCGAGCCCACTCCGCAGCCCTGCGGGGGTCCGGCCCCGGGGAGCCCCTGCCCCTGCCCGCCCCCGGGGCCGCTCCATGCCGGAGCGCGGTGCCACCGCACGGGGACGGGGGACACTCTGGCGGCATCGCTCCCCGTGCCCCGGGACCAGCCGCTCCTGCCCGTCCCCGTGCAGCCCCCGCGCCGCGGGCCGGGGGGGGCGGGTCCCGCCCTCCCCTCCGGGTCGTGCCGGAGCAGGGACCCCCGCGGCCCCCCCAGCTGCCGGTACGCGGGGGCCGGGCGGAGGGGGGCGGCGGGGCCAGGGCGAGGGGCCGCGGGAGAGGAGCGGGCACGGGGCGGTGCTGCGCGGGGCCCGACACAGCCCGGGGCGGCGTGGCCGGGCAGGGCCGGGCCGGGCCGGGCAGCCGGTGCCCGCACGGCGGGGCCGCGCCAGGGCGCTGCGAGGCCGCCGGTCTCCGAGGCCCCTGCGGGTGCCGGGGGCGGTGCGGCCCCGGGCCGGGCGAGGCTGTCAGCACCGGGGCGGTGCGGGACGGTGCGGAGCGGGCCTGGCCGGGCACCACGGGGGGTGCGGCGGCCTCCGGGCCTGCGGGCCCCAGTGCCGCGGGCGGGGACCGGTGACAAACTTGCGGCCGCCGCACCGTGCCGTGCCGCTCGATGTCCCGCATGGCGCGGGGGAGGCGCCTCGACCCCCGCCCCGCAGCGCTGCGCGCCCCGCGGGGTATCGAGCCGGAGGGGGCAGCGGGCCCGGGGGGGTCACCCAGCGGCAGCGTCGCCAGGGTGGGGGCCACACGCCCACCTGGGCTGGACAGGCGGGTCCGCGTTCTCTCAACCGGCCGGCCCCGCTGCGCCCGGGGACACCCACCCTCCCACAGCCGCGCCCGGCGGTGGGCACCGGGCGGGGGGTACCGGGCGGAGGGCAACGGGGCGGGGGGCAGCGGGGCGTCGGGGACTGGGACTGAGGACTCTAGGGCTGGGGACATCGGGACTGCGGGCAACGGGGCTGCGTGCGCCGCGCTCGCCGTGCGCTGCCCGTCCGGCTCTGCCCGCTGTCGGGCGCCCGGCGCTGCCCGGGCGTGGAGCGAGCGCCCGCCCCCGCTGCCGCCTCCTCCTCCATCCTTCTCCTCCCCCCGGTGCGGAGCGAGCGTCGCTCCCCGGTGCGGGAGCCGGTGCCCCGGCGCCCCGGCGCGGGGTCGGGCGGGCGTGTGTGTGTGCGGGGCGTGTGTGCGTTGGGCTCCCCCCGTGCCGAGCCACTCCGCTCCGTGCCGAACCCCGGGCGCGGCGGCCTCCCGACCCCCGCCCCTCCCGGGGCCGCGCCGGGCGCGGAGCCCCCTCCCTCCCTCCCCGCGCTCCCTCCCTCGTTCCCTCCCCGCGCCCGCCCGTTCCCTCTCCGGACCGGCCCCCCCGCGCGGGCCGGGGCGCGCGGCACGCCGGGACCCGCAGTCCGCGGGGCGGCTCGGCGGCTCCCGGCCCCGGCGGACGGACTACGGCTCCCGGCAGCCCGCGCGGCCGCGGCTCGCTCTCGCCCTCACACTCCGGCTGCCGCTGCCAGTGTCTCCTCCGCCGCCGCCGCTGCCGCCGAACCGCCGCTCGCAGCGCCCGGGGTCCGACCCGCCGCCTGGGGCAGGGGCCCGCCCCGGCCCGCCGCCTCCCGCCGCCCGCCCGCCTCGGGAAGCAGGTGCGTACCCACCGCCCCGCGCCGCCCCGCGCTGGACCCCGGCCCCCGCTGCCCGGGCACCCCGGGCCCGCGCCGCCCCGCACCCACGGCACACGGGGGCAAGCGGAGGGGAGCGGGTGGCCCGACCCCCCCTCCGGCCGTCCGGACGGGATCTCCATGGAAACGGTCCCGGGACACCCCCAGGGGCGGCGGTGGGGCGGCGCGGGGGGGGGGGTGTACGGGCTGGGGGGACCGGCGACGTCCTGCGGCGGGACAGCGGCGGGGGCGCGGCGGGCACTGACAGCGCCGGGCGGGGGGCAGCGGGCGGCGGCGGCGGCTCCGCTCCCCGCCCCGCGACGGCGCGGCGGAGCCGCTGCCCTGCCCGGCACGGCTGCTCCGGCTCCGGCACCGGCGGCACCTGCCGCTGCCGGGGCGGTGCGGGGGGTCCCGCGGCGGGGCGGGGCGGCCGCGCAGCGCGGCGCTCCCGGGGCGGCGGTGGGACGGCGGCGCCGGGCGCTCGTGGAGTTTGGCGGCGTGGCCCGAGCCCGCCCCGGCCGCCGCTGCGCCCGGGGCCGGTTCGGCTGCGGGTGCCGACCGGCCGGGTGCCGGGCGGTGGCGGAAGAGCCCTCCCCGGGGGCAGCGCGGCCGCCGCCACCTCCATGTCCGGGGCTGCCCCGGTGCGGCAGCGCGGGGGCCCGGCCGCGCCTGCCGGGGCTGCGGGACGCTCCGCCGGGGAGCGGCCCCGGGGGCAACTGTTGAGCCGGGGGCCGCGGGAGCGGGCGCGGGGCAGCACGGCGGGGCCTAGCCCCCGGCAAGGCTGCGGGGTGCGGGGCGAAGCCCCTGGAGCGGCCGCGAGGCCGCCGTGTCCCGGGCAGGGGGGGCTGCCCGCCCCGCGGGGCCCCGGCGGCGGCGCGGGGCCGTGGGCCGTGCCGTGGCCTCGCGGGGCTCGGGAGCGGGACGTGCCGCGCCTCGGGCGGGGGGCTCGCTGGGGAACCCGCGCGGACCCGGACCCGGGGCGGGCTGCGGCCGGGGCCGGGGCGGTGCCGCTCCGTGCCGACGCCCCCCGACGCCCGGGGCGGGGCGGCGGGGGCGGCCGGTCCCCCGCCCGTGCCCACGGTGATGGCCGGGCAGCGGCAGGACCGGGCGAGGGAGGCGGCGCTTCCTGCCGCCCTCACCGGGGAGGAAACCAGCCCTCCCGCGGCAGCGTGCCGGTACCGGGAGGGATCCTGGCTCCTCGGCGAGCGGCATTGGCCCCCTCATCCCAGCCTGGGTGAGGCCGGTTCAGAGCAGCGCCGGGAGAAGGTCCATCAGGCTAAAATAGAGACGAAGTGAGTTTCTCCTGTCACAGAGCATCCGCTCTCTGGCACCCTCATCCCCTGGAGTCTGGGGATGAGTGCTAGGGCAGGGCCAGTGCATCCCGTGCCCTTTGCAGCTCTTCTGCATCTTTTTGGCCCTGTCTGTAGCAGCCTTCCCTTCCCTGTCTTCTCTTGTCTTCCTTCCCTTCCCTTCCTTTTCCGCTGTGCTGCCATTGCCCTGGCCACCCTTTGGGTTTGGGTGGTCTCAGTGCCAGCACTGGCTGGAGGCTCCGTGGCGCCAGTCGAGGACACCGACTGCATTGCTGTCACCTGGGTCTGGAGACGCATTCCGGGTGTCAAAGCCCAGGCTCCAGCGGGGTTTGGCCTTCAGAGCTCCCCTTGGGACCTCTGGGCTCTGGAGCACTAGTCTGTCTCATAGGTATGGGAGGCTGTGCTCTGCTTTTGGGGTTTTGGATGATGTGCACCTTGTCAGGGACATTTTTTAATATTATCATCCCTTAATAGCTCTTTTTCAATCCTTAAAAATTTGTGGGCTTTGGTGGGGGCAGCCTGGTTGTTGCAGACAAGCCAGGGTTTAGTGACACCAGTTGTCCAGCAGCTGGGACCAATTATCGCAGCACTGCCCAGTGTGCAGCAAACTTTTATTTTTTTCTGAAATAGGGATGGATTTTTTCTTTTTTATTTCCAATTCATCGTGCCGGGGATCTATAATTACGTGTGGTGTTACTGTGTCTTTAAATCAGCTTAAGCAAATGCGTGTAGGCAAAGCCTGGCTCAGCTCTGCAGCGGCCGGGGCGGCTGTGCAGGCAGCGGGGACCAAACCCGGCTCGGGGCTGCCCTCGCTGGGCACCGTTCTCCCCAGAGAGCCCCAGAGGTGGCCTGGCCCGTCCTTGCTGGATTTTGTGCCACTCCTGTCATTCCTGATCCATTCTCCCACAGTTTCTGACCTCTGCATGCGTGATAATATAATGTAAGATAGTCTGTTCCCTTTTTTTTTAGTTTTCTTGTTTAAATTTTTCCCTCATTGCATATCGTGCCCGCTGCGAGTCCTGTGATAGGGCCGTCATAGGTTTTTTGATTTAATTTTTGATTTCATTGTTAATTTTTTGCCATCAGTTTACTCCACCGGCTTTTCCAAAGTGGTGCTCAGAGCCAAGGTGCCGGGGGCATGAGTGCTTGCTTCGGCCCTCTGCACTTCTGATGGACACCCGACCATCCCATATCAAAACACATAGAATTCCTTGCCTGCATTACTAATGGCAACGAAGAATTGCCAAAGTGAACAAACTATGGCAAGGGAAGGAGACCTGCCTGTCTGTGCAGACAGTTCCCTTCTGGCCCACCTGACCCCCGGGGAGAGCTGCAGGGCACATTGCACCTCATTCTGCTGCTTCCGCTCCTGCCAAAGCGGCCAGCTGTGCTCTGAGCGCTGAATCCCACCCGAGTTTCCCACAGCTGACCTAATTTTATATTTTGTAGCCATCCAGGGGATAAAACCCCCTTCCTTACAGGTTTTGCTGCTCTGGGAATGAATGTTTCAAAGGTATCTCCCGCGGGTGTGTTTCCAGGGTCAAAGTGCATTGCTCCCGGCCTTCCGCAGTGTCCCCTGGCCAGGGGAGCCACATGGTGCTGTGGGAGGGCAACCAGAGCATCCTCCCCATCTCCTGCTGCCGAGGGATGTGGTAGCCTTTCTCTGTTCCACACCCTAGGGCTGGGAAGTCCTTTTCCTTCCTCTGTGCTACTGGCCCACTCAATGCCAGCATGGACAGAGGCACTACCGACTGGGCAGCATTTACTGTGCCCAGAAAGGCTCTGGAGCAGCTGAGCTGCACCAAGTGACCTGTGCTGGGATTCCTGGAGTCAGCTCATGCTGTGGCTGCCACTCAGGCAGGGGGAAAGGCAAAGCTGATGTTCTCCCTGGGTGAACTCGTGCCATTGTCTGAGTTCCTGTTGCCAGCAGTGGAGCACATTGCTGCCTGTTGGGTCTTTGCTTGGTGCTCTCCCACCTGTGTTGGGGATGATGTGCCTGCCCAGAGCAGGCAGAGGGAATCCTTGTGCTGGGAGGGGCTGCTGGTGTTTCAGTACCTGTCAGCTCCCACCTGCCTAGGCAGGGTGCAGTGGGACACTGTCCCTCTCTTGGTGTGTAGCTCATGTGCTGGGGCTGGCATGGCAGAGAGGAAGGGTAAGTGCCTTGAAATCCAAGTGGTTTTAGTACTTGGAAATGCACAGAGCAGGAAAATACATGGAAAACCTTTTGTGGGAGATCAAGGCAGCATGGTCCTACAGAGGGATGTGTTTGCACTATGGAGAAGTGATTGGCACAGGCTGTCTCTGGGAGGTGCAGGGAAGAGCCCCCTTCCCACACTGGTAGGCCTGGCTCCACTACAGGTGCCATAAGATGGATGCTGGCGGAGGTCATGGCTCTGGGTAATCTGATCAAAGTGAGTTAGACCAGGTGGCAACATAGTTGTGACATCTGTGAGGGCAAACACCAACAGCACCAAACTCCCCAGTGAGAAGCAAACCCTTGGCTATCTGTGACTGGCAGGTTGGTGCCAGCCTGAGAAGTTGCTTTGTGTGTTTGCCAATGCAAGCGCTTGAGAAACTGAGGCTGGGGACCTGATTGGGCCAAGGGATTGCTGTCACTGGGAGAAGAGGGTGGCTTGCAGTGGGATGGCTTCAGAATCTACTTTGCAACCCCTTTGCTGCATTAATGCCGGGGTGGGAGGTGTGACTTTGAGGGGCTGTGGGAAACAATTAGGCAGCCTCACTTCAGGCAGCTGAAGTTGGGATCCCCAAGAGCCAGGGAACAAACAGGGTTTAACAGGTCAGCGTGGAGATGGCATGGGCTTAATTCTTGTCAGCAGTGGGAGCTGGTAGGTGAATGCTGGGGGAGCCTGTCCTGGAACTTTTGCTCAGCCTGCCCTGAAATGATGGTTGTCTTGGCGCTGTTGGGTTTTCATTGCAAGGAGGACTTGTCAATAGATAATGGTTAAAAAATGTCCATTCCTGAAGAACTTAATCTCTTGAAACTTGTTTCCATCACTGTACTGTAATATTTCAGAAGAGTAATTTCTTGACTTAATCCAAGGGAGCTTCCATGGGTAGCCAAGTCATCACTAACCTGAGTAACAGCACACTTTCACTGCAAGGAAAACATCTGCTTTGCTTTTCCCGGAGCCTGGAAGAGGCGGGTTTGCAGAGTAGCATCGTTTCCTTTTGCGAAATGATGAGATGTATTGCCTTAATGAACAAAATCCCCTTTTCTTTTAATTCGCCATAGTAGTTTCATTGCAAACCTCTCAGAGGGTTTGCCATTGGAGGCAAGAGTGTTCAGCACCTTCCTTGCTGGCAGTTCTTAGGGCACGCTTTGTTTCGGGAGGTGAAGGAGTTTTAATACCGTATGAGCTTCCCCACACAGAATGCCTCGATGTTCTTACTTCATTCTAAACTCGTTTTCTTTGGCGTTAATTAGAATTGGCTGAGCACCTATTTAGCTAAATCAAAATAAGACTGTGGTTTCGTATACACTTCCTTTGGCAGATGTTGTGGATTAAGTAGAGTCTGTGCCAGGCTCTGCCCTCTCTCTGTCTTGGTGAAGCTGATCTAGGAGCTGGTATGGGTTAAAACCAGTCCAGCCAGGGAAAAAAAAAAAAAAAAAAAAAAAAAAGTGTTTTAAACAGAGATCAACTCCCTGGTCAGGTTTACAGGGATACTGCAGGGCTTCAGTGACATGACTGAAGGGGTGAGGGGAGAGAAGGGCTTCAGCAGTTTCTCAACAGCTTCTTCTGCTTGAAGACAGGCATGTGAAGCCATGCCCTAGTTGTGTTCTCCAAGGGTTTCCTATGAGTTTAATTACATCCCTTTAATGTTGCTTCCAACTGCACCAGTGTAGATGGGAGATCTGCTCGCTTTCCTTGTGCCGACTCGGCTAAGAGTGTTCTGACCCAGGGAGGCTGCAGTTGCTCTCTGTGGTTCAGTGTTGCATCGGGAGGCTGCTCATCCCTGCATTTCCCAATAAACTTCCTGGTCTGCCTTTTTAAGAATGCTGTTGCTCCACTGGTTTGTGTTTGAACCCATGTCTGGTGCTTGGTCCCTGTTTTATTCCTTCTCTGAGTTCATCTCTGGATTATTTTTCTTTTCTGTTCTTCATTGCCTGTGAAATGCCTGTCTTTGGCATGTGTCCCACATCGTCTGTAGAGGATAGAGGCCAAGAATCCACGAAACAGTGTTGATCTCTGTCACTGTGTCCTCCCAGCTCCCCTCCTGTGGCCGTCGTTCCGGCCCTTTTGACCAGCTCTTACTTGAGGACTCCAAATGTACTGTTTCTTCCAGCTCCTCATGGCACCCCGTTATCACTCCTCCCTTGCCAGACCTATTCCGGGGTCACGCCTGATCTCTGCTTGTCCCCAGCTCCACGTCGTGCAGCTGCACGCATCCCCTTCTCCCGTTGCAGAGAAGGTCCCTTTTGATTCCTCCTGGAACATCTGTCCTGCTGCTGTGCTTGGGGGCAGAACGTTCCTCCTCCCCTCCTTTCAGTTTAGCCTAAGATGGTGAAATCCCCGCAGATTGTTTGTTCCCCTATTTCCTTTATGTTGCATTTCTCTCCAAGCATCGAAAGACTCCTCCCCTTCCTGCTCCAAGCCACCTCGGTCTCTTTGGGTATGACCCTGCTCTCTGCCTTGGCGTCTGCCCGTCTCCCCCATCGGGAGGATTTCTCCCATCTCACAGTGTGTGTTTTTAGCAGGTTTCCCCTCTTCCCCTGACCTCTGATTTCCGTACACTGTTTGTGCACTTGTGCCCTTGTACGTGCAGATGGGTTCGTCGGTTTCTCTTTGGCACACCAGCTGCCTTGTCCCCATTTCTGCCGTGTGCCTGGCCCCTTTTTCCTCCTCGGAGGATCCCCACCGGCACGTTCAGGCTGCAGCGAGGACACCCGGCAGCAGCTGCGCTCGGGGGAGCCGCTCAGCCCTGTGGCTCGGCCCTTGAGCTGCTGGCCGGCAGGTCCCTGTGGGG